GTATTTCCGCTATGGCGCCCCTCCTGTCATCAACCCACTGGGCACCAGCTTCCCCGACAACACCTCCGTGCAGCCCTCCTTCCTCGTCAAGATGCTGCATGGCAACACCTCCATCAACATCTCCCACCCAGCACCCGGGGACTGGTTTGTAGCCGCCCACCTGCCCCCCTCATCCCAGAAGATTGAGGTGAAGGTGAGGGGGCTCCCTCCATGGTTAGGGGGCAGGATCCTGCAGTGCACAAATGGCCAGTCCCTGCTGTTCACCTCCTCAGGGCAGACTTTGCTCTAGTCTCTGCTGCCCAGCACCACCCCCGAGCCCCCAGGCTCTCTGACCCAGTTCTGCCCCCTCACCTGCTTCCTCTTCTTCCCTATGCCTGCTTTCTTCCTAGGGCTTTATTCCCACCTGTGCCTACGTCTTCCAGCCTGACATGCTGGTTGTGCGGGTGGTCGAGGTCTCTATCCTGGAGCCTGATGTGCCCCTTCCACAGACTCTCCTCCACCATCCCAGCTACCTCAAGTGAGTGGAGGCCCTGGGGAAGGCCCAGCCTCCGGGTTTGGTGGAGTGGGTGGTACTGCTGTCCTCACTGTGGGTGAGAAAGTGAGGGGTCTGGGTTTCTGGATTGTGCTAAGAAGTGGGGACCCGACCCCTGGCCCCTTTGGCCACCAGCCTGAGTGTGAATGCTGTGGTGACACCGGTCAAAGCTGCAGAGCCTGAATGAGGCCATATCCCCTTGGCTGCAGAATCTTTGTCCCTGAGTACACCCAGAAGCTACGGTTGGAGCTGCAGGGCTGTGCATCCAATGGGAGCTTGGGCTGCCCTGTGCGCCTCACCGTGGGCTCAGCCACCCTGCCCGGCAACTTCCGGAAGGTGCTCACTTGCACAGGGCCCACCCAGGACTGCCGCCTGTTGCTGCCCTCACCGCCCTGGGGCCGGTGGCTGCAAGTGACAGCCAAGAGCCTGGCGGGGCCGCTTGTGTCTGTAGTTTTCAATGCTGTAGCTGCACTCACAGGTGGGCTGCATGGAAAGAGGGGTGGGTGGCTCTGCTCCCTGCCCTCCACCCCTAGGCCTTCCTCCAGCTGAGCCCCTTGTCCTCTTGACAGCCTGCAGGCCATGGAGTGTGAGCTTCCAGCACCTTCTGCAGAACAGTGCAAACCAGAGCGGAAATGCCTCCACTGGTCTACTGCCCCTGAGCCCCAGCTACCAGGAACTGGACAGGAGCAGTGGGGCGGGTGACAGCCCCTTCTGCCTCAGGAACTACCCAGTCCCTCGGGAAGACTTGGACGTGGTGTCCGTGCGCTTCCGGCCCCTAGACCAGGTGTCGGTGCAGTCAGACATGCCCTCTGTGTTGCGGCTGTACCTCAACACGGGCATGGACAGTGGGGGCTCCCTCACCATCTCTCTGCAAGTCAACAAGGTATCTTTGGCTGTGAGCACCTCAAGACCCTGCTTGAATCAGGGCCCAAGGCCCAAAGTTCAGGGCTCAGACCTCCCCGGGTGGAGTGATGCTGCTCAGGCCTTTCTGTGCTGACTTTGGCATGGAGACTGGGTCGGGGCAGCCTTTCAGGCAACAAAGTGACCCTGGTGGGCGTTGGGCCAAAATAGTCTCCTTCTGAGAAATGGGGAGCCTGGTCTGTGGAGCAGCAGGTCCATGTCGGCAGGCTCAGGACTGTGCCTGAGCAGACAGGGTGGAGGGGGTGATCATAGGCCGGGTGTCCCGGGCCTAGAGGGTGAGGGTCCTGGATGAGCTCTGAACCTGTGGGAGCCACAGAGAACAGCACCCAGACACTGGAGTGTGAAGTTGAGGAGGAAGCAGGGGGCTGACCCTTCTCGTCCTCCCTCTCAGACCGCGATTGCCAACAACACCTTGGTGGTGGTCTGTGTGACTGCCGCCTCGCCCTTCCTCAGCTTCAATGATTCGCTCAACTGCACCACAGGTATGGACAGGCACAGGCACGGGCAGGCAGTGTCTGGCCCAGTGAGCCAGCAGGCCCTCTGGCCATCTCTGACTGGGACTTCCTACTCCCCTGCAGCCTTCTTCCAGGGCTACCCTCTGTCTCTGAGTGCCTCATCGCGCAAGGCCACCCTTGTTATTCCTTACCCAGAGACAGACAACTGGTACCTCTCCCTGCAGCTTGTGTGCCCTGAGAGTCCTAAGTAAGTAAACTTGGGGTAGGCAGCCAAGTGGTTATGCTCAGGACCATGGACAGGGCTGCCAGTGTCCCAGTTTGGGGGTGATGCCAGGAGTTCCAAGAGGTTCCCCTTTCCCACCTGGCCGCCCCTTCCACAGCAGCTCTGGGAGCCAGGATACAAGGAGGTGGGCTGGTCCAGAACCCAGTCCCAGACACATTGGTCCTTCAGCAGGGGGAGTGGGGAGGGGGAGTCTTGACCTTGGCAGTGCTCACAGTTGCTATCCTCCGGGGCTCAGATCCCAAGGGCCTCAACTCTGGGTTCACATATCCAAGACCCTGCTGGGAGCACTGGTGGGCAGCCAGCCTTCCTGTGGCCTGCCAGCCTTCCTGTGGCCCCTCCTCACAGGGAGTGTGAGCAGGCCTTGGTGCCTGTGGAGACCACTTTGTACTTGGTGCCTTGCCTGAATGACTGCGGACCCTATGGCCAGTGCCTCCTGCTGCGCACACACAGCTACCTGTATGCAGGCTGTAGCTGCAAGGCAGGTGAGGGACAAGTTTGGAGAATACCCCAAAGAGCAAGGGCAGATGCCTCCTTACCACTCCTACAGTGCCTGCCAACCCCCATGCAGGCATAGAGAGGCACCCCCACAGATGGTACTGCCTTCTGACTTTGGCTTCCCCTGCCCACACCTACCCTCACCTGTCCATGCCTGCCCTATACCTGCCTACACCTATCCCATGTCTTTCCCCCCTATCCCAGCCTGTTCTGGGGTGAGGAAGAGGCTTCTCCGCAGGGTCCTGGGTGAAGGGTAGACCTTGAGGTTCAGAAGGACCCTCCGCCAAGCCTGGCCCCAGTTGCCTGGGCTTAGCCCCCTGCGGTGTCACATTGGCTTATAGGCTGGCGTGGGTGGAGCTGCACAGACAACAGCACGGCCCAGACTGTGGCCCAGCAGAAGGTAGCCACCCTCTTGCTCACGCTCAGCAACCTCTTGTTTTTGGCTCCAATCACCATCTCCGTGCACCGCTCCCACCTGGTAGAGGCCTCTGTCTATGCCTACACCATGTTCTTCTCCACGGTAGGCCAGCCCTGCTCCTGTTGTGGGGAGGAGGTGAGGGGTCTGGGCTGCCACTGACCACCTGGCTCTGCAGTTCTACCACGCTTGTGACCAGCCAGGAGAGGCGGTGCTGTGTATCCTCAACTATGACACCCTGCAGTACTGTGATTTCCTGGGCTCTGGAGTGTCCATCTGGGTCACCATCCTCTGCATGGCGCGGTTGAAGGCAGCCTTGAAATACGTGAGTGATCTCCTAACACCCCTGAGCTGGGCTCTAGGGGAGCAGAGGCCCTCATGTGCAGCGTGTCAAGGGAGAGACCAGAAAGAGGGTTCGGCGGTTACCATTAGTGGGCAAGATTAAGCGAGGCCTTTTTCTCTCCCAGGGCTCCATTCAGAGAGGAGGCCTGGAGCCCTGACCCTAGGCCAGAAGCCCTGACCCTAGGCCAGAACTCCCTGAGAAGCCCCCAGCTGTGCTCCTGGAGCCCCTGGTGCTGAGGACACCTTGGGGGCTTTTCTGCTGAAGTAGGATCTGGCTGATGGAGATGCATGCCCTGGTGCCCTGCATGGCCAGGTTCTTACCTCAGAAATTCACCTGTGGATGGTCCAGTGGGACCAATGCATCCCCGCAATGTAGGAGCTGGAGGAGAAGCACCTCCCTTCCAGCTAGCAGAGCATGACAAATTGTGCCAGCAGCTCCAAGGGGGCAGGCAGAGGTGCCCAGGGGGCAGTGAAGGACAGCAGGATGACCAGTGTGTCCCCACTACCTGCTCCTGCTGAACCTCATGCTGTCAAAGATGAGCCAGGCCAGGGTTCCTATGACCCTGTGACCATCCCTGTGTTTTGCCCAGGTTCTGTTCCTCCTGGGCACTCTGGTCTTCGCCATGTCCTTGCAGATGGACCGCAGGGCAGCCTGGAACACAATGGGGCCTTGCCTCTTTGCCATCATGGTCATGGTCACCATGTGGGTAAGGAGCTGGAGCAGGCTTGTGGTCCCCCCAGACCCCCTCCCTTGGCAATTGGGATAAGAGTGTGGGCCCGCCACAGACCCTCACTCTGGGAGGAGAGAACATGGCCCCTCGTTCTGGCCGTGTTCTTTGTCCTGGGCCTGAGTCTTCCACATCCTCTGAGGGCTACTCGTGGCACCCACAGGGGCCCAGTGTGGCTTCATGCCCAAGTCTCTGTGCCCTGGAGCCCCTTCCAAGCAGCCCACAACCCTTGGGAGCCGTGGCTGCAGCCCCTGTGCCAGCACTCATGTGGTAGTTTCCTCCAGGTGTACCGCTGCGGACGCCGGCGCCACTGCTACCCCACCTCCTGGCAGCGTTGGATCTTCTACCTCCTGCCTGGCATCTCCATGGCCACTGTGGCCATCACCATCTACACCACCATGATGACCAGTGACAACTATTATTACACCCATAGCATCTGGCACATGCTGCTGGCAGGGAGCGCAGCGTTCTTGCTGCCACCACGTGAGCAACACACTGATCCCTGGGCCTGCTCCCAGAAGCTCCCCTGCCACTATGAGATCTGTAAGAACCACCGGGAAGAGCTGTACACAGTGACATGACACGGCCTACAGCTGTGATCTCTCCAGTCAGGGGCAAGACTAATGGAGAAGGACCCTGTTCCCATCAATTTCCAACAGAATAAAATTGCCCTGTGCATCCTCTTGCTTTCTCCTCTCGAGGAGAGGACCACACCCCCAACTCCCTTGTGCCCACTAGCTGCCAGCTGACTCAGTCCCTCTGCAGTGCCCAGCTGGTATCTGCAGTGGCCCCTGGGGCCTGGGCCTGGCTGCTTGGAGACCAAAGGTACCGTGCAGGGGCAGACTCCTGTTCTACTGACCTGGGGACAGTTGGAGGGAGATGTGGAGTAAGATTCCCCCATTGGCCTAGTCTCCTATGAGGCTGTGATATGAGAGACCCTGGTGGGCAAAGGAGGCCTGAGCCCACCTCCCATGGGCCCCTGCCACTGAGGCTGGGAGCTGTGCCATCCCTAGCTCCTTGAATGCCAACCTGCCTTGGCTTGGGAATACCCTTGCTGATGCATTTACCATGGGAAGGGGTGACTGTGCTCACCAGGGAGCTGAGGGCACTGGGGGGACGTGAGGGTTAGCTGCTGTGAATGGTATGGAGAGGCTGGCTTCTAGCTGTGCAGCTCTGCCCCTTCACTCCCTATGGCTCTCAGCTTTGGAGCTGCAGCCCACTGAGATAAGCTTCCTGGGGAGGGGGCTCCCAAGTTGCTCTGGGAGTGCTGGGCCCACAGGGCACACCTCATCCCAACTCTGCCCCACCCACCCCCTGGATTCCTAGGCCCTTGTCTGGGGAGGATTCTCTTGTGTTATTCCCGGGAGAGGTGATGGCTGCCACCCTGCACTGGCCTAACCACTGTGGACCTTTGGGGAGGAGGCCCCTGGAGACCCGGCAGTGTCTTTCTCCTTCCTCTGTCGGGGAAGTGGAGGAAGGGCTGCTAACTGCCAAGGGAACAGTACCCTCCCTTTGCTAAGGCATGACTGCAGAGGGCTACTGTCTATAAGGAATGCAGAGCGGGGCCATGGCAAGCTGCGCCCAGTGTGAGGGGCACACAGCCCTCCCACCTCCTGGCCCCCGGCATCTTCCCTACAGAGTTCTGTCCAGGGTGTGACCTCCCTGAAGGCTTCCCCCACCCGCAGTCACCCAGCCGTTGGCCATCGGAGCGTCCTCTAGGCTTGTAAAGGGGAAATATTTATATAGGGTGTTTTGAGGGGTAAAATTTTTTAAGACATTTAAGACATATTTTTCTGTAGCTCTGATTTCCCTGTGACTGGTGAATTTCATATTCTGCAGTGATATTTCAAGGCAAAAGAGTTTTTACATTGCTGTTTGCTCTCCTTTGGGGAGAAGGGGAAGTGGGACCAAGAATGACAGACCCCGCCCCTGGGGCTTCCGCTAGCGAGAAACGGCCCGCACTTGCCAACGGTGCCCGGAGCTGCCGCCGACCCCGCAGGGTGTTTTCCACAGTCCCTAAGGCCGAAAAGGGGGCGGGGCGAGTCCGGGGGTGGTGCGGGGTAGACCGACGGGCTTTGCAGCGAGTCAGCGACGGGTGAAGGGCCAGGAGCCCGGCGGTGCGACTTCCGGTTCCGGCGGGGCACTGAGCTCTGGGAGGTAGGCCGTGCGACCTGATCGGGGTTCGGGGTCCAGGGCACTCTACTGCATGGGTGAGCTGGCCGAGTAGTCGGAGCCGCGCAGGCTCACGGGGTCGGGCCAGGGAGACGGTGCCAGAGGTCTGGGCTGCCCTGGTGGATGGGGAAGGGGGTCGGGGCCGCGTGGGCCACGGGGCTGTGCAGGGGTAAGGAGCTATGGCGGAGGGACCTGGCTGGAGGTTGGAGCTGCGCGGGGTAATGGGGGCGGGAGAGGATGAGGGGGGCCCGAGACGGCCCATGGCGTCGGGTGACGCCGGCCCCTGCCTGCCCCCAGGCTCGCTGCGATGCCCCTGCACAGGGTCCCGGTGGGCCTGTGGAAGAAGCTCCGCTTGCGTGAAGGCATCTGCTCCCGCCTTCCCTCGCATTACTTGCGCTCCTTGGAGGAGGGACGGACGCCCACTCCCGTGCACTACCGGCCACACGGGGCTAAGTTCAAGATCAACCCAAAGAACGGGCAACGGGAGCGCTTGGAGGACGTGCCCATTCCCATTTACTACCCTCCGGAGTCCCAGCTAGGGCTCTGGGGCGGCGAGGGCTGGATTCTGGGTCACAGATATGTCAACAACGACAAGGTAGGTGAGCAGGATGGGCTAGAGCGGTGCTTCCCCGGCTTTTGCTGCCCTGCTCCACGTGACTCTGGAGGTACCTGGGGAGCAAAAGGGACCCTGGGGAGAGGGGGCTTAGTGTGTGGGGGACACAGCTCCATCTGAGGAGGATTCTCAGAAGTAAAGGGTCACAGTTCTGGCACTGGGCATCTGAGACAGAGTGATCACTCAGATCAAGTGTAAGGATGGGGAGGAGCCCTGAGTCTTGAAAGAGGTTGAGAGTGAGGTCTACTGTTATCTGTCACCTTGATCTCCATACTTTTCCCACTTCTAGTGACCCCCGAACCATGGAGTTGTGGTTGTGTGTGTGGTGTGTCTAGAATACACACCAGTAACCTGGCCAAGGTCTGGGGAGAAGCTGATCTCTGGGTGGGCAGCCAGGTCCCCAGGTAGGGGCTGATCCATGTAGCTCCACATTCCAAGTCTCAGGAAGGTACCCCATTCACCGCCCAGGTCTGTGGGAGAAGCAGCAGCTCTCACCAGGCCTCTGCTGCCCCCTCAGCTCTCCAAGAAGGTGAAGAAGGTGTGGAAGCCACAGCTGTTCCAGCGCGAGCTCTACAGTGAGATCCTGGACACCAAGTTCACCGTGACCGTGACCATGCGCACCCTGGACCTCATCGATGAGGCCTATGGGTTTGACTTCTACATCCTCAAGGCAAGCAGATCAGCACCATGCTGGGGCATACTACTGTCTGAGGTGGAGGGTCACCAGTGAGATGTAGACAGGACCATGTCCCTTTCTGGGCAGCCCCAGCTGGAGTTTTCTGCCCATGGGAGAATCCTTCACTGTGGACAGCCACCTTGTCCATGGGACTCAAGGGAGCACAGCTGTCTCCTTTTCTGCTCTTAGACCTTCCTCTGTTTTGGCCTGGGCACTGGGGCTGCCCACCTGGTCTATCGTGCTCCACTGGGCTGGTCTGGGGACTGCCACCTATTGGGGAGGAGGCTGGAGGGGCTGGCTGGTCAGGTGGACGGGGCCCTGCCTGCAGCACCTGGCCTCACGTGGAGCCTCCTGCCAGACCCCAAAGGAGGACCTGTGCTCCAAGTTCGGGATGGACCTGAAACGAGGGATGCTTCTGCGGCTCGCCCAACAGGATCCCCAGCTGCACCCAGACGACCCTGACAGGAGGGCGGCCATCTATGACAAGTACAAGGTAAGGACTTAGGCCTGTCCTTCCTGCTTCTTGGTGGGCCCCACCAGCCGGCTGCCCCTGGCCTCACCACGAGCCCCATCTCTGCTTGCACAGGCCTTTGTCATTCCGGAGACAGAGGCTGAGTGGGTCGGTCTGACTCTCGACGAGGCTGTGGAGAAGCAGAGGCTGCTAGAGGAGAAGGTGAGAGTGTGTGGGAGTGCCAGCTGCCCTGCCCTCTCAGGAGTGGATACAGCTGCCAAGCTCCAGCCCCAGGGGAGCCTAGACCCAGGGGCACTGCTGCATAAGCCTGCCCAGCAGGAACCGTGGACTATGGGTTCTGCAGGGCACAATCCCTCCCCTCTAGGTCCTGACCTCTTCTGCCTGCTCTGGCTGGCTTCATGGACAGAAAGAGGGACGAGAGCTGGATGCTTGGCCCTGTTGGTTTACTTGGCTGCCTAGCATTCTCCAGGGTCTTCCCAGTTGAAGCCTTTTTATGTCTGTCCCCTGGAAGAGTCTGGAGCATGTGGTAGCTGCTGAGACAGGGAGCTCACTCATGGCCCAGAAGCTGCTGGTCCCCTGCCCTCTGCTCGCTCTATCTGCAGCCACGGGGCCCCAAGGCAGGGAAGCTGGGGGCTGGCGCCTGATCCCTGCATCCCCAAGGGAAGGCAGCCCCTCTCCCACGGACAGGCCACTGTCCTCTGGGCTAGGGGCTGAGGGGTGGTGAGTAGTCTTGCTTTACCCTGTGGCCCAGGCTGAGGGGCCTGGGCCTGTCATGCCCAGTTCCTCTTGGTGTTTGGCCAGAGCAACTGGATTCCCAGCCTCCCCTGAGCGCCTCACTGTGACCCTGTCTTGCCCCCTGTAGGACCCCGTCCCTCTGTTTAAGGTCTACGTGGAGGAGCTGATCGAGCAGCTTCAGCAGCAGGCCCTGTCTGAGCCAGCAGTGATGCAGAAGAGAGCCAGTGGGCAGTAACCACACAGAGGCCTGGGCCTCACAGTTGGGCTCAGCACCTCCACCCCCTTTGACACAATGGACAGAGCCTGGGGCAGTGGTGGGGGCCACCATGGGCAGTGGGTGAACCCATTGTTGTGTGTGCTGGCCACGCAGCTCCCGGGTGGCATGGGCTTTGTGGAGGCCCCCAGAGGCCTCTTGTCTCAGGATCCCCAGAGGCCTGGGGCCCTCTCTCTGCCTCTGTGGTCTCCTCCCCTTCTCCCATAGTGGAGGCCCTGCTGAGGCCGGTCACCACCCTTGGGGGACAGCGTAAGTAAAATCTGAGCCAGGCTGTGTGCGTGCTGCTTTGCTTGGAGGATCAGGGCTCACCCTGCCCCAGAGACTTGGGATGCAACCAGCTATGCAAGATTTCTCAGCTTTTCTGTCCTTTGGGAGAACCCAGTGTTGTCGGAGGCATCCTGTGTTAGAGCAGGATGGGGCCTCCCCCCGCCCCCACCTGTCTGGAACATTCTCCAGACAGAGGCTGGGTGCTGCGGCCTGGCTCTGGGAGTGGCTTGACAGTGTTCATGCCAGCACTCCTGTGGGGTGGCGGGCACCCACACCAGCTCTGAGAGCTGCAGGGACCCTCCGAGGGTGCTGCTGGTGGCTGTGTCTTGCACAGAAGGCCTTGAGTCTGGAGCTTCTGTCAGCCCCACCCTATCACAGTTCAAAAGGAGACCAGGATCACAAGGCCTGTGGGGACGTGAACCCAGGTGGGGATGTGACTCCCAGCAGGAGGCTGGGCCAGGCACCCTGAGGCCTTTCCTGCTCTAAGACCCACTTCGCTGACCCTTATCTGGAAGTCCTGAGCATTGAAACCCAGTCAGGTCTCTGGGAGGACAGGCAGGTTCCCCTGACCTGGTCCTAGCTGACTGACTAAGGGGCACCAGTCTCCTCTGAGGGGTGCTATGGGAGGTCACACCCCCCTGGGCCGTGTTAATGGAGGGGAGGCAGAGTGGCCTGCAGATGTTGGAGGGCCTTGGTAACCCCATGGCTCATAAGAAGGTCATCTAGGACTGGGAGCTGCCTTGGGGTCAGAGCCCTGGGGGGAATTTCCCAAGGTCACCAGTACCAGCCTCGTCCGAGGGCACCTAGGGAACTCATGTGTCCTGACGCTCCCAATCACGAGTTCTTCATATAATATCCCTATTTTGTGAACGGTTTTAATTTTTAAAGAATTTTACCAAAAGTTGACAATGCCCAGCTCACCCCTGCCCTGGCTCTGTGGGTCAGCAAGGCCCAGCCCAGTTGTTCAAACCATGGCCTCTGGCTCTAGCCCGGTTGGTGGTGCTCTGGGCCAGCCCTGCCCAGCCTCCACTCATGGTTCCCATGTTCAGCCCTGGACTGAATCAAACTGATTCCCTTTACACTCCCTTGGTCTGTTGCCTGGATCCCCTGTGCAGTGTGTAACCAGAACATCCCCAGTTCATTGACCTTGGCTCAAGTAGCCCTCCCTCACCTGCTCTTTTCCTGCCCCAACTAAGGCCACAGGAGTAGGGGTGTTCTGTGTTGGATTCCTGGGGCCCCAGGGACCTGGGGCTACACAGGGCATGTGGGCTGAGTAGGGTTGCGGCTGGGCTTGAGGGTGGATGTAGGTGGACTCTGCCTCCCTGTCAGCACTGGTGGGCCAGGCCAGAGTGTTTCCAGCCTGGGATTACCACAAGGACGGCCCAGGCTGGCCTCTGCAGACTAGTGATGGGAGCTTGGCATGCCTGGAGCAGATCACTCGCCTTACCTGGACCTGAGGCTGGACTGAGTTGGGGTCTGAGTATGGCCTTGGCCCTCAATCTCCAAAACATGAGCCCTTTTCTGATGGTGCAACGTCAGTTTCATCAAGTTCTCACAAATATCCTTGGTTCAGGAAAGGTTAAGAAACCCTCAATGAGTGACAGGCTCACTCCGCAGCCCAAATAAAATGATCACCCAGGGAAGAGGGTAGAGCTCAGTGGTAAAGTGCGTGCTTAGCATGCACGAGGTCCTGGGGTCCTAGGTTCGATCCCCAGTACCTCCGTTTAAAAAAAAATCTAACCCCAACCCCCAAAAGATCACTGAGGTCTGGGACAGGCCCCTGACCTCCCTCCAGATTATCTGGTAGGTGGGGCTAGGAGGGGACACAGGGACTGCAGTCACCCACATGCTGCACATGGAACCAGGAGCTGAGCTGCCAATCAGCCACCTGTCCTGGCCATCTGATGTGTCCTACCCTTCGGGCCCTGGTCAGGAAGTGACCTCTGAGCTGCATTTATTTCTTTCCCCTTGTCAACCACACCTCCACCAATCTCTTCCTTGCTCTGTCTGTCTGAGAACCTCTGGTTCCCCCCTCACTGAGGTCCTGGATTGGTGTGGGCTGTGTGTGTGTTCTACTGACCAAGGTCGAACCTGTGGAAGCCTGAGCTGCCCTGCCCTGGTCTGTGGCCTCAAACAGGTCATGCTCTGTCTGCACCAGCTAAATCGACCCTTCCCCATGTCCAAGGCCTTAGGGGCAGGCTCCCTCCCTCTGCATGTGTTTCCATGACAACAGCTCAACCAGTCAGCTTCAGTGTCAATAGTCTTGCTCTTGCTAGGCTGTGGACAGGAGGGTGAACCATCACTGGCTATGGGTTGGGGAAGGGCCCTCAGGACCAAGCACTGGAGGTTCATGACAGTAGTGTGGCCATCAGCACCATGGTGTCTTGAGGCCTTGTGTCCACTGTCTCATTCTAATGTCCTCAAGTACCAGGAAGGGTGAAAAGACTGACTTAATCTAGAGATGGGACAACCAAGGCCAAGGGAGAGAGGGTGGGGTCCAGTCAACAGCTCTATACCTGAGCCCTCACCCTGAGGGTCTCACCTGAGTCCTGCTCAGGTATGTACTGGCTGCATGTTTGCAGGTGTGCAGAGAGCAGCCTCGCCCCTGCCCTTGGCCCTGTCAGGGTGCTGGGAGCACAGGGGAGCTGCTGGGGGACCTCCATCCACATCCACTGTCTGCCCTTCCCTGAGCTGGCGGTGCTGGGACCCACCTCAGCCTTCATCCACTGATGCCCACTTGAGCCCCTCTCCCTCCCACCCCCACCTGCTACCCCCAAGCTGGAGCCCTGGGCCAGATGAACTCATCCAACATCAGCCCTGTGCAGGTTGGCACCCTCTACCACACCTGACACAGGCCTGAGTACCCACCCCGACCCTGCCCCTGGACGAGACCTGTTTATGTGTGATGGGAGCCTATAAGACTAGAGGTGGACTGGGCAGCTTGGGTTGGGGCCAGGCCAGTGTGAAGAAGGCTGAGACTAGTCCAGGGTACTGGCTGAGCACCTTCTGTGCCCTGTGGCTCTGGGTCCAGCCCAGCCTGCTGTGTGCCTGTTCCCTCAGATTTGTGACCCTGTGGACACCTTTTCCAGGCTCGCCCTGGCCCCTGGGTCCCTCTGGCTTTGGCAGTGGCCTCCTTAGCAGCTGCTGGGCCCCAGGGGCCTGCCTTAGTCCTGGCCTCTTCCCAGGGGCTTGAGACTCATGCCTGCTCCTCTAAGCCCTGCAGCTGTTCCTCAGTCCATCTTCTGCTAACAGATGTGGGCTGGGCCTGGGTCAGGAAGTGGGGCATGGCCTCCTCCCAGAGCTCTCAGGTGTCCTTCATGTGGGCCTCAACCAGGTGGTGCTGATCCCAGGAGTGTTTGGACAGGCGAGGGGCTGTCACAGAGATGGGGTTGGGGTGGCTCTGGGATGTTCACTGTCCTGCAACACCCAGGATGTTCATTCCTTGGAGTGATGCTGCATCATGCCCTTGCTGAAAAGCTGTGGCCTTGAGACATCAGGGAAGGCCTTGCTGAAGGCTGGTGCTAAGAGACCCTGAGGCAGGCAATGGGAAGAGCTGGTGCAAAGTCACAGTGTACGGCCAGTTTCCATGGGGTTGGAAAGTGTCCCAGAGTCCTGTTGGGTGGGGCCCAAGGTCATAGGGCAGCAGGGCCATGCTGGGACCTCTGAAGGCTCTTGAGGGGGCTGTGATTGTGTCTGTGTTCAGCAGGCTGAGGAGAATGCTGAGGGGCAGTCCCTGGGAGTGGGGAGTTTCTCCTGCTCTTCCTCCTCCTGCTGCTCTCACCCATTATTTTCTAACCCGACTGGGCCTGACCTTCAGCCCCTGGGGCAAGCCTGACCTGAAGTCCTTTTCTCAGTAGGGGCTGCAAGGACACTCTTCCTGCCTCTGCCAAGACATCAGGGAGGGCATGGAATGGCCTAGGACATGTCCCAAGAGAGGGACAGGAACCCCTTATGCTGGACATGCATCAAACACACACATACACAAACACTCAACAGCTGGTGCAGGAGCAGCCACCATCCAGCCACGTCTGACCCGACCCTCGAAGGGGACCCTGGCATGGGCCCACCAGCGACGCCGCCTGCTCCCTCAGCAGTCAGGAGTGGCTCGGGGGTGGCGGTGTCTAAAGGGGCTGGTTGCCATGGCTACCATAGGGTTCCGAGGCCGTCATCTGGTCCCTGCCTCAGCCAATCGGCGGTGGGAGCCCGAGCTGCAGCCTAGAGTCACGCTTCTTCCTCCCAGCCACACAGTGGCCAAGAGCAGGGACCCGCTTCCTGGAGTGGCTGAAAGTGCTCGCTCGGACCGGCCAAGCCCATCATGGCGGACCGCGGGACGGTGGGGCGTGAGCAGGCACACGGACCCAGGCAGGTGAGGTAAGCCGGGTGGGAGGACGGACAGACGGACGGACGGACAGGCAGACAGGTGGACGTGCTCCCTGCTGCCCATTGTTCTTTTGGCTGAGGCTCTGCCCTCAGCCCACCCCGCCCTCTGACCCTCACCCTGGGACCCTCTCCCTAAATGTCCCAAGGAAGGGTCCCGGAAAGAGAGACAAAGGAAGCAGCACGAGGCAGTATGAATCCCACCGCTCCCTGGTCCCGAAATCGCTCTCCTGGGTCTTTCACGTCAGATTTCACATAGAGGCGGCATCAAAGACCCCCAACTGGCCAGGGCCCTCAGCGTAACGGCCACCTGGCCCCTCTCCCGGCCACCGCTCCCAGGGCTGGGCAACAGGCATGTCAAGGCAGCGTGGTTTAAGAAGGATTTTTTTCAAGAAGAAAAGAAAAAGCGGAAAAAAAGAGAAAAAAATGTCCACCTATAACGGGGAGCGGTCAGCCCAAGATGGATCAGAAGCGCCAAATCCCATTACTCGGGACTTCAGAGGACAGGCCCAGAAAGGCAGCTGTGATTAAGAGCTTGTAAATGGAGTGTCCTTTGGAGATCAAAGAGGGACATGCTTGTGTGTGTGTGTGCGGGCGTGCGCGTGTGCACGCGTGTGTGTAGGGTGA